AACAGCTGACTGAGTGACTGGTGGTCCACCGATGGTCGTTCATGAAGTACATGTAAACAGCCAGGGCGATTAGCGCAACAGGCACACAGTTAGACAGGCATCACTTGAACATCATTAAATCACTCACCTTCTGAGGTGCGTTAAGCAGCCGGCGCAGCGGTGGGACCTGCTCGCACAGAGGCGTGCGCACATTCAAGGAAAACGGCAGGGGCCGAGTGGGCTCAAGGCAACACAAGGCTGTGGTCGAAAATGGGTCCGAGTCGTCCAGGAAGTGGACATAAACACTCAACGTCGCAACGTCTGTAGCACCGGGCATTGCGGACCGACAATCGGACTGCAAGTGACCACGGCCAACACAGGGGATACTCAAGCGGACAGTCGAAGTGCGAAGGAGCGAAGGAAGGAGAGAGAACCTCGCCTCGCCTCACATGCCGCTGCTCGCGTTAGATGTGACAAGAGCTGCGCCCAGCGTGGAGCAGCTGTGGCGATGAGACTCAACCGAGGACGTGACGTCGACAACCGCAGCGCGAGGTACGGACGATCGAAAAACCTCCTCTTGGTCGCCGTCACTCACCACTGCTCACCAACAGCAACAACAGCAGCAGCAGCGGCGTCGGCCAAGGCGATGGCAATGGCAATTAGTCTCTCCACGTCAGCAGCGAAGGCGATGAATCGAACGCGATCGCGGCCGAACCTCAAAAACTCGCTGGCTACCAGCCGTCGCTGGTGAAGGCGAAAGTAACGTACATATCGACTAGTGATGATTTTTCAAACGTTTACTATTCTTTCCGAAAACGTTCACACCCCTACGCAGCCAGTGTTAGTCTTTTACGCACAAATGAAGGAAGATCACACCCTTCACGTTTATGGTAGAATAAGAATGTTGATCAGCAAGTACGTGTAACGGCCATAGTTCTTTTAGCCGTACATAATAAATACGTACATATATTTTGCCACATACAACTCTCGCCGGTCGTATCGAAAATTAAAGTATTCATTCGTTGTGTGCACTTTAAAATTGCAGGCTTAGTTTGCTGATAGAATTTTTCTGCGATATGGTACGGGTGAAATCCAGCGCGCGGCGTGAATGTTCTCTTATTAACTGCGAATTCCCTCAAGCAAGGAATTCACCCCACTGTGCTTCGGTGCAAATAGCCAAAAAAGTAGTTCGTTGACCTGCAAAAGTAGTGCCCTGTTGTGGTCATGCCAATACGTGCGAGATATGCAGCCGTGTTAGTCGGCGCGTGCGTTTTACGGCTGCAATTCACCATAACCTGCCTGATAGCTGATTGAAAATCAATGCAAGGGGTGTTAACGTGAATTTAAAAATTATTTAAAAATTTTATGCTATCGTTTCTTAAAATTCAAAGATAAACATTGTGAAACCTTTTCATCACGCTACGTAATCTCTATTAAAACTACGACGTCATACGCGCACGACGGGTCGAATATCTATTTCGATGCTTGCTGGTGATATTTGCAAATAATAAAAGACACATTCGATGCTGTAGTAGCCTTTCAAATGGCTAGGACAAAAATCTTCAACGCAATGTATCTAACATGAATATAATGCGCCCATAACAACTTTCATTTATCGCATGCATGACATTCGTTGGATGAAATTCATGCATTTTCTAATAAA